TTGAAAAAGAAATTGAACAAGATGAATTTTATATTTATTTAGAATATTCAAAAAATAGTTATTTATTTAATAATATCAAATTTTATTTTTCAGTTATATTTTTGGTTATTGATTTTTAAACCCCCCTAACCAATAACCAACCAATTTTTTTTTATTTGAACAAAGATAAAAAAAATAAGGTTAAATCTCCATTTTGGTCCCTAAACTATTGTACGGACCCCCGCTTTGGTCCTTAAACTAAAGAAATCCCTGATTTGGTCCCTAAACTATTGTACGACCCCGATTTGGTCCCCACTGTTTATAATTTGGCCTAAGTTGGTCCTTGAACTATTGTATGGACCACCAATTTGGTCCTTACTGTTTGCAATTTCGCCACAATTTGGTCCCTGAGCTATTATTTAACAGAAAGACGAAGTTGGGGCTAAATTGGTAAATAGTAAGGACCAAATTGGGGATCCATATAATAGTTTAGGGACCAACTCAAGGGTCTGTACAATAGTTTAGGGACCAACTCAGGGGTCCGTACAATAGTTCAAGGACCAAATTAGGGATTTCTTTAGTTCAGAGACCAAATCGGGGGTCCGTACAATAGTTCAGGGACCAAAATAGGGGTTTAACCAAAAAATAACGGTAACCAGTTACATCTTACTATTTGATTATTTTTTAATTGGTTTTTGGTTACCTAGATAATGTTACTATTTGCAATTATACCAATTACATCTTACTATTAGCAAAAACCATTTGGTTAACCAACCATTTGCCGACCCCTAAATGATGTTATTTAAATGATTATTTTATTAGTATATAAGGTCTAAAGGTTTTTGCAAAAAAAGAAAATCTAAAGAGTTCAAAATATTAATTATAATTTTTTATGAATGGTAAAGAAATAAATCTATAAGAAATTAGTGTTTTTCAGTTGAATCTAAAAAAAAAAAGTGAAAAACACTCAAAATTATGATATTTCAATAAAATGCCACAAGAAAAAATTACAACAATCTCATTTTTGTTTTAAAATTAAGATTTGTTAGTCTTTTTTATAAAATTTTATTAAAGTAATATAATTTTGAGATATTTTTCTATTTAATTTTCTATAAGTATAGTTGATAAATATTTTTCTCAATCTATAGTGTATATGATATTTGGCTAAGTCATTGGGATTTTGTTTCGCTATATATTTAGGTGTATCAATAATAGTAGCAATTAATACATCCAATGCAAAACAAATTGGAAAGGAATTGTCATTAACAATTATACATTAGTATCTTATTCCTTAAAAGCAAGTTTGCTCTGAAGCAAGTTTGCTCTGCCGAACAACCGCATAGCTAATTATTAGCTTCTTTACTTACGTAAGTCATTCATACTTCATGGTACTTCCACCATTAATTTCCAAATCAATTTGATTTTCTCCCAAATACTTTAATTTCAAATTTTGTTTTTCTTATCTTATAATTGTGCTATGATCCATTTCTAAGGTCATTTAAAATTCTAATGCGTAATTACTAATTAGCCTATGTCTAACAATTTTAAAGACGCAGGGACTCCCTAATGGACAACATAAAATCAGCCATTGATATTGTAAAGGACGTTGGCCCTACAGTTTGGAAATATGTCAAGTATCAATTTTGTCCAATTGATTATGTGGATCAATTCGTAGCTGTGCAAAAGAAGCTGAAGCGCCAACTCGAAGATGTTGAGGCAAAATTAAACACACAACTTAACCAGCCAGCAAAGAAAGCAAGGAGCCAAGTTGATAATTGGTGGGAGGAAACGCGCAAAGAAACTGCAGTAAAGGTTGAAGATCTGATCTGTAAAGAAGGCTATTTCAAAAACATTTGCTCATCAAGAAAGCTCGATAAAAAGACTCAAGCACTGAATGAAGGTATATGTATGCAAGGAGAAAATTACACTAATGATAGTCAGAGTTTGGTCATAGATGATCACTCAATCAAAGGAGTTCCACTCCTTGTTGACAAATGTAGTGGCAGGGATGATATACAAGATCAAATTATGGAATGGTTGAAGGGAGACGAGGTTACAAGAATTGTAGTTTTGGGAATGGGTGGTGTGGGCAAGACAACAATTATGAAGCAAGTCCACAACCAACTCTTGAAAGAACCCAAATTTAACAAAGTTATTTGGGTAAAAGTGTCTGTCACGCCCCAAAACCCAAATTCGAGACGAAACAAATGCCGTACACTCATGAGAGGATCCCACAAATGCACAAGGCTTGGAATTTATCCAATTCACATCTGACAATCCAATAACTTAAATCAGATATTTCAAAATAATTCTATGTCCAACATAACTTAAGCTCAAAATCTCAAGGTCAAATCTCTTGTAAACTAACAATCCATTAAATGAATTTATAAAATCTCCAATTAAAATCTAGTTTACAAGATCATGATCTATATCTAAAATCTATATCAAATTACAAGTGGCTAGCCTTCTAACTCGTCACTCCCCTTGTTTTTCCCCGTCCTTGACTTCGCTTCCTGAAATGGTGAACAAAGAAAAACTAGGTGAGATAAAATATCTCAGTAAGTAAAAATATGGATAGCCCGTGGGTAAAATTTAAGTATGCCAGATAAACAATTTAACATAAAAAAAGGTTCAATGATAAACCATTAATACAAAATCAATTTCAGTTCAATAGCAAAGCGTTCAATGACAAACCGTTAATGCAGAAGAACATTCAGTAATAGTCTCATCTATAGGTCATGGCCAGCGTTTATAAACCTCCTACTAGCGGGCACAGTAATAACCAATGTTTTATCCCATTAACAAGATTTTAGTAATAACCAATGTATTATCCCATTGGTAGGATTACAGAATGAACCGGTCCTATCAGTAAACATGTCGACATGCGCTAACGTTTATAAACCTCCCACTAGCGGGCACAGTAAACATGACCATATCAGAGACAAAACCATGCAGGATTTACAGAAAAATTCGTAATTCACAATCAATCTCAAATTTCATAAATAACCAGAAAATTCTATGTGGGCATGGATTTAACAGAAAATCATAATTTACAAAAATTTTCAAATCATCAGAGCAGTTCAGTAAATTCCAAGTGGGCATGCTTTACTCAATGAAACGAAAATAATTCCATTTCAAATTAATCATGCTCGGTGCTAATAAAATCAATTTTAAATCAATAAAATCAATTTAAACCTTGCCACCATCTCAAAAACAATTTAAAACATGCTTTGAAATCGAAGGGCGTTACCATAATTTACTTACCTCAAATCTGTAGTATCGAAGACTCACTCCTAGTGCTCTATGCCATAACAGCACCTAATATTCCAAATAAATACATTCAGACTTTGCTAGAATTATTAGCACAACCTTGAAAATTTACTAACCAATGAGCTTCACACGAAATTCAACCATATGACCAAACATCTCAATTTTATTCTCAATATAACTACACATTTAAACCCTCCTATTGTTGGCCATTAGTGCATGAACAGTACCCGTGAACAGTAATCACGCAATGAACAGTAACTGCAACTTCCAAAAATTGACAAAACCATAGCTAATCTCATGGGAATTTTTCCAAAAATCACAGTAGCCAAAATAATCTAATTTTCTACATGAATTAAGCTAAATCATGGTCTAATTACTGTCAAATTTCTCCCCTATTTCCAGCAGAAAATTCAGACAGCACATGGGGCAGTAATTCATGGGCAAACTCAGCAGCTAATGGATGATTTTAGGTTCAAGGGGGCTGTCACATACCCGAATTCCAACAAAAATCGGAGCTGTGGCTTGGGGAGACTGGCGGGAAGTGCAGGGGAAGCTCACGGGGCTACCAAAATTTGAAGAAACAACAGATTTAAAATGAACCCAAGCTAAATCAAGCTGAAAAGATGAAGTTCATGGCTGTGGCTTACCCGAAAAAGCCCAGAATTCACACATAGCAAAAGCCGACGGACAGCAAGGGGAAAGGAAACAGTGCAGATCTGGAAAATTCTGGGTTTGGGAGAGTGTCCTAAGTCCTAAATCTTGTCCTTGAACAAGAAAGAAGGAGGAATTTCAAGCTTTCTACCGGTTTTTTTCCCAAGAGAGGTGCTGTCGGGCTTGGGGGCTTCGCCGACTGTAAGGGAGAAGAAGAAGAGCAGAAGCACATGGGCCGAGGAAGAAAGAAAGAAGAAAAAAATCACCCGGTCCTTATCCAAATCTTTTCTCTTTTAAGTCTCTGAACTTTGAAATTTCGATTATTAAGCCCCAAAACAATATTTCCTCACAATCAAGTCCTTAACTAAGTGCTAAAATATCACAAAATTTTGGGATATTACAGTGTCCAAAGACTTTGACATTATTGTCCAACACAAAAAGAAGTTTGATATTCTCAAGTTTCAAAAAAGGTTTGCTAGTAGCTTAGAATTAAAACTAGAGCCAGAGGATCATGAGAATGAAACCAAACTTGCTAGATTGATTTCACAAAGGTTGGGGCAAGGTAGCTTCTTGCTAATTCTGGATGATGTGTGGGAGCCTTTCTCCTTAGAGAACGTTGGAATTCCTGATCTAGTTGGAAATAATGGTTGCAAGTTAGTGCTCACGACACGGTTACAACATTTTGCTCGTGTAATGGATTGTGAGGTGATCATGGTGAATCCTCTTCCAGCTAATGAAGCATCAACATTATTCTTGGAGAAAGTTGGAAGTGATGTGTTTTCAAATGGCAAAATTAAAAGAGATGTAGAGCCATTTTTGAAGCAAATTTTGCAAAAATGTGATGGAGTACCGCTTGCTATTGTGACAGTGGCAAAATCAATGAGAGGGAAATTACTTCCTCGTCGTTGGAAGTTAGCACTTTCTGAATTTAGTAAATTTGAAAGCATTATTGATTATTTTAAATTCAGTTACGAATGCCTAGAACCACAATGCCAGGAGTGTTTCCTATATTGTGCATTATATCCTGAAGATTATGAAATCCCAAAGGAGGAGTTAATTGAGTATTGGATTGAGGAGGGGCTTATATATAAAGAAGGGAAAACTAGGGAGGCAATGAATTGGAAGGGTCATGATATACTCGATAAGTTGGTTGACAACTGCTTGTTAAAGTTGGTTAAAAAAAATTACCAAGAAGATTGTGTGAGTATGCATGATCTTCTCCGAGAAATGGCATTGGAAATCAGTCAATTTTTTGTGAAAGCTGGCATTACCTTGGAAAAGCTACCAGAAGAAGATGAATGGAGAGATCGTTTGAAGGTTTCTTTAATGAGGAATCACATAACAGAAATTCCTTCAAGCATGTCGTCTCCAAAGTGTCCTATGCTCACAACCTTGCTATTGTCCAATAACAATATTTCAACCATTCCAGAAGCATTTTTTGAGCAAATGCTTGGGCTCAAGATTCTTGATCTTTCCCACAATCCTAAGCTAAGTAGGCTGCCGAGTTCTGTTTCCAAATTGGAGAAGCTTACTACATTATTGCTGGGGCATTGTGGCTTCTTAGAAGAGGTACCGTCTTTATCCAACCTTGTAGGCTTAAAAAAGTTAGACCTTTCCTGGACATCAATTGAAGAACTTTCCCAAGGCCTCAACAGGTTAACAAATCTAAAATATCTTAGTCTTGGTGGAAGATTATCTAAAACACTTGATGAACCGCTACAAAATCTCTCCAAACTTCAGCATTTACTAGTAAATGACGATCTCGATCCTGAAACAGAATATAAATGGGAAACGATTGGAATTTGGGGGAACCTTCAAAACCTTGAGAAGTTGGATCTTGGTTATTTGGATAACTTGAATATGGTGTTTGGGGAAGTAGGAGCAATTGCTGAGTCAGTACCCCTACCAACTGGCACATTTTCCTCTCTTCAATATGTTAGTGTTTTTGCATGTGATAAAATAAAGAAGTTATTCTCAGTTAGGTGGTTACCGTATCTCCAAAAACTACAGACTATTGAGGTCAATTATTGTGCGCAACTTGAAGAGATAATAGGGTCTGAATTTGAAGAAGGAGAAAAAGTCACTCTATCCAAGTTGCAAGGATTGAAATTGACCGAATTGCCCCAATTGAAAAGCATCTATAGCGGTTCTTTGATTTGTGATTCCATCAAGAACATTAAAATTAATAATTGCAAAAATATAGAGCGTGTTTTTTGGTCAGGGTTCAATCCACTTCCAAATCTTGAATATCTATACCTTTTCAATTTAGAGAATTTGAAATCCGTGTTTGATGAAGAAGGTCTTGGTTTATGGTCACTTGTACCTCCCACAAGCTTTTTCTCTCTTACAGAAATTAGGGTTGATAATTGTCATCGATTAAAGAAGGTATTCTCATCTGGATGGCTACTCAACTACTTCCAATCTCTAGAGATTATTGAGGTTCAATGGTGTTCACAGTTGGAGGATCTGATATTGTCATCAACACATGAAGAAGAAAAAGTCACTCTACCCAAGTTACAAACCTTGAAATTGACGAGATTGCCCTTATTGAAGAGCATCTGCAGCAGCTTCAGTGTGTTGAATTGTGATTACATCAAGTGGCTGGAGATTGTCCACTGTGAGAAGCTAAAGAGGATTCCTCTGAATTTTCCCTTGCTTGATAATGCCCAATCATCTCATCCTTCTTCCCTCAAAGAAATTGTGGTATTCCCAAAAGAATGGTGGAAATCATTGGAATGGGACGATCCCAATGCAAAAGACATTCTTTTACCCTTCTGCGAATTTCGGCAGACTAATTTGTGGTGGGGCGCACCGCAAATGTAAGCCTTTTAATCTTCAATTTTTCATTTTTTATTCAACTCAGTGTGAGTTTTCCATTCTTAATAAATCTCTCTCTCTCACACACATTTATTCTTTTCTCCCCCATTGGCAGCAATTTTGATTCGGCTCTATAACCACAAGAAAGTTGGAGGAAATCACATATGCACTAGTTGCTGTTGCTATTGGGTTTTCAATTTAATATAATCTTTGTTTTTCTTTTCCTGAGCGTGTTGCGTGTTTAAATATGTCCAATTCTAAGTGGAAAACTAGAAATGCTTGTTTGTTTCTCTATTATCTGTATAATTTTGTCTTTGAAACTGTGTGCGAAAAAGACTTGAGACTGTATTTGCTTTTCTTGTGTAATATGTATTTCAATTGATTGCATTTGCATTTCTCTTCTCAAATTTCATTCAGCAAAATTATCATCATCAACAACAACCGAGACTTACTTTCATCAACTATATTTGCATGCTCCGTTACTTTATCTTCTCAGAATTGCCAAAGGACTAGCACTCGGGTCAGAGTGCACTTCTCTTCTTTTCTTTTACCTTTTTTAATTAATTATTTTGTTTTGTTTTCCGATTGCATGGTCCGAATGTCTCATTAGCTAAAGTAAATTATTGGATAAATAGTGTTATTTCAAAAGATAATTACATAATGCCCATCCTTGGATGTTAGTGGGTTAACATTCATATATGGGCAGGTCAATGTTGGTGTTGTGCTAAGAAAGCGTTCTGGTGATGAGGAGCTACCGGATCACTACTTATCACAAAGCATATATTGTTCCAATACATAATATTTGACACCCAGTCCCATGTTGCAAACTTCACTCTTAAGAGCAAAGTGAATTTTCCTGTGACACATCAAACCACCAATTGTTATGAGGGAAAAGAGGGGTTCTTATGAGCATGTTTCATTTTAATCAAGCATATTGGCGGAGGAGCTATATATATTTGTAACATGGTAGTACCTGTTTACTTTAAAATAATCACTATTCACTATTTGAAGGTGTTGGTATCAGCAAGAGCTCAAATTTTTCAGTGAAGAGCTCCAAAATCAGGTATCAAGTTAACTATAATGCTACTTTGAAGGACAAGGCTTAAATGACCGTAGAAAGGTATGAAATTTATAGGTTTGGGCCTCAATTTTGTCATTTGAAACAAACAGTGACTGTTCTGCCTCAGTTCAACCGTCTTTATTGGTAATTTATTTATTTCAATAATTTATTTGTCTTGACTCTCTATTAGATTAAATAATTCCACAGCTTAGGTAAAGTTGTGCAATATAGTTTCGGTAAAAGAGGGGAGCACTTGTGTCTAGGTAATGATTATTTGTTTCTAGAATGCTTGCCTGGTAGAGTTAAAGTGTTGTTGAAAAATTTTCTTGTTCAATCTTCTTTTAACTAATTTTTGTCTGGTACATCTCTAAAGCAAGCCAGAGTTCATCTTCTCTACACTGTGCCAACGGTCAGAATTGTTGTTCAAATTATATATCAATGGAGAGAGTGATTCAGCTATTACTCTGCATTGCTCGTCTCTTCACTAGGTTTGTTGCATCGATCTGTCGACTTCTAGGTCTGTAAAACTGCTTACTATCTTAGGGATTACCTTTCTCTTATTTTTTCTTTTGAGATCTGACGTAGATTTCTTTGATTATCTGTTGTAATGCCATTATTGACAAAGGTTTGTTTGGTTGCCAAGAAGATTGGAGAAAACCGAGGTTCTGAGGTTTTTTTTTCTTTTATATTAAGAAAATTGAAGTTTAGTTTATTGATCATGCTTGCTTTTTTTCCTTTAATGTTTTGCTCATTTGACTCTTATCAATGAAAATCTCAAAATTACCTTTGTAGTTGTTGGAAAGGATTTTATTTAAAGTTGTCTAATGTGTTCCTAATTTGTGCTAGAATTATCAATTCCATGTGGTCATCCCTAAACTTTCTCAACGGTTAAAAATACGTGCAATAGTGTCTGATTAATTCTCTTGTTGAAGAAGCATGTTCTAATATCAGCAATTCTAGGCTTAAAATTTGCTTTGCATGTGGAGGATTATTAATTGCGAGATAGTCTTAATCACATCAGAATAGTAATTGGATTCTAAACCTCATTCTGATTTGATTTAATGTTGGATTATTGGTTATATGAATTATATTTTTACTTGGAGATATGTTTGTGAAGTTGTGCTAATAGTTCTGTTATGGTGTGATGTTGTGGTTTACCCTGTGGTATTGATACAGTATCTGATGGAAAGGAATGTGAAACATTTACAAATCTATTTGATTTATGTGGGATCTCAAAAGCCAATAAGTTATGGGTATGTTTATGCTTTTTCGATGGCTGTTCCAAGGCTATTCAGTTTTTTTGTGCTAGTATAGCCATCCAGCTGTAGCTTTGTTGGCCCAGGCTATATAAACCTGGTTAATTTTGAATGATTTGAGCTTCTCTTTAAAATGTTTATTAGATTTTTTTTGAGGTTATTTAAATGTTTTTCTAAATTGAGAGCTGGTTAACCTGTTGACAATTTGCAGGAAGTTCAATCTGAAGATTCTACATCAAAGTAGATAGAGAGAAAAAGGTTTTTCCTTCTCTACTATCTAATGTATGATGTATCTTCTCTTATACTCTTTAACATTGGAATAAAGAGAATACAAAATAGAAGAAAAAGAAACCTTTACCTTTTGAGTTTAGATGGAATTACTTCCTCCTTGCAACTTGTTTTATGAACTGACCTAATAGTACTTACACGGAACTTACTTGTATAAAATAATAACTAGTCACCTAATAGGCAGTCCATGTTGCTAGGGATGTCAACGGGGCCCCGCGGGGCCGGGGACCCCTTCCCCATCCCCGTCCCTGTGACTCACGGGGATGGGGATCCCCGCGGGGATTTTTTACAGGGGGCAGATTTTGCCCCCCGTCCTCGTTCCCCGCGGGGAATGGCGATCCCCGCGGGGATCCCCATTCCCCACGGGGAACGGTAGCAATAGCGATGGCAGCAGATGGCAGCAGATGACTTCGTTGCAGCAGCAAATCGCTCTAGCGGCAGCAAAGCAGATGGATCCGATCCGGCAGCAGGCCAGCGG